GTATGTTGGTCTGCAGTTGGAGATTCGTCTCCAGCTGTGCTGGTCAAACTCTTTGCCTCTGAGTAGAGAGGATCTCCAGACAAGGCTATGTCGAAAGGCAGAATCTCGTCTCGGGAAATAATGAACAACACATATAAGATTCGCCAGCGGCGCGTGGAAGTAGTAGTCAACTGCTAGAAGTGAGTCAAGTAAATTCCACAATGAATCTCCAGCTGCAGGGTATCTACCAACCGCCCCACACGGTCAGATCTGGTACAAGGCCGAATATAATGTGGGGTATCCGAGCCCGTAGGCACGGCCAAAAATTCTCCGTAGACACAGTATAAAACGGTGTCGGGTAGCTGTTTCTCGAGACGAGACTCTCTCCTTCGATATAACCTCGTCTGGGGATCCTCTCTGCCCCGATGCAGAGATTTTGACCAGTACAGCTGGAAACAAATGTCCAATTGTAGGATATCTACCAACCACTCCACGCGGTCAGATGTAGCACATGGCCAAATTTAATGTGGAGTATCCGTGCCTGTAGGCTCGGACAAAATTCCCCGTAGACACCGTATAAAATGGGGTCGAGTAGCTGTTTCCCGAGACGAGTAAATATATTTACAAACGGATGTAGAGAGATGGCTTTGTCTATATTATCAGAAATACTATCTAGCACGCAATAGTTATGAGATGAAGGGGAACGGTAGAGAAAGAAGAGACAGCTGTTTGGAAGAGAGAGACGGAGACACACGTAAGAGTTTAAAAGAGAGAGACGAAGACATATGTAGGATTCAAGAGAGAGTTCCCTACCTGACGGGAGATGTTCGCAGAAATAAACTCCCAGGCCATGCATGCGGACATTAGAGTCCTTCCTAAATCGAGGAAGAAAGCCAGGAATCGAGAAGGGGATTAATTAGTTAAGATTAGTTTCGTAGAGAGCTAGGATGTCTGGAGAGTTTTCGAAGAGGAATGATTCCACACGAATAGCACGAATCTTGGAGAAAGAATAGTTGAGGGTTTTAGGTGTCTTTTTTTGAGCTGATTTGTTTTTGTTTTTTTTCAGTTGCTTATAGTCGTTGTCAGTCAGTTATGTTCCATGCGTGATACATGCTTAGGCGATCCTGTATCTTTCGATACATGACTGAAGAAGCATATGTTTTTCCCGCAGTAGATTGCCATTTCTTTCTGCGGTAGACCAGTTGCCATCCAAGGCTATAGAACCCGGTCTGTCCTGCTATTTATCCATAGCTGGGGGAGGGGAGCTGAGGAATATTCATACCTTTCCCAGAGGTATTAGCACCTAAGTGAATGTAATGGATTCAACTTGAATTCGAACTCGGATCACCAATTCCTCAATCCGAACTGAGCTATCCATTACTCCACCGGTTGTCTAATGTAACATGTGGCCTCGGGGTTGCCCACCGGGGGTGCTTGCAGGGACACCCTTCCATGCGCGACATGGCCCTGCAAGAACCCTGAAATTATGTGAATGTGTATCAGATCAGTCTCTCAAAACGCTACCCAAGAGTTCGGGCTCCTAACTACCTGACAGGAACAGTAACCAGAAAGCTTCTAACCCAGTACCCTCAGTATGAAGAGACGTTGCCTGAATCCACACATATCACAAAAAATTATGACAGCACTACCGGGGCCCCCTTCCTAAACAGGAAACAAGGAATGCGCATCTATTTCTGTTCAAGAGAACGGCGTGGAATATGGACAGGGCGATAAGAAAGCCTATCTACTCCTATTTAAAAAAAATACTAAGTTTTAACTTAGTTAAAATCGAGATGCCGATTAAAAATTCAAAAGCGAATTAAACCTGGCAAAGATCCACCTCTGAAAGAATGAAAAATAAACAGTTCTGGGTTTGATTCCCAGTTATTTCAAAGAGTGAACATTCAGATAACTTATTTGGAGAGTCGATCTGCGGCTCCCCGAACATTTTGACCATACGATATTTAAGTGACATTCTAGTAAACTAAGGGACAGAAGAAGGTAATAGGTAAAAGGGGGTCTGTCCCTAGAATCATGTGAGAATGACCCGCTTGATAGCAGCGGGGTAACAAAAAACTATAAAGAAAAACAAAAACACGAAGGCTGTTAAATATTAACATTATAATTGTAATCCAAATGATTAACGATTCAAACGTGAAATTTAAAATCAAATTTTAACATGCAAATATCACGGAGATCATCAATTAGAAAAAGGGAAAAAAGAAAAAATCTAAATCTAAAGATTAGTTTTATTTTTTTAAGCTTTTCACCCTAAGCAAGGTGGGGTGCCACTTGCACGCAAGGGGTTACAAAGAGTGGGAGTGAGAGTAGAGAGACGGGAAAGAGGAAAGGATGAAGAGAAGGACGAGGAATAGATCAAGACATCTGGAGATGTCGATTGACAATGCATTTGAATAGTTGGAGATTATAGCTATCAGGGAAGCAAGTAAGAGGAAGGGAGTTCCACAGATGGGAAGTGCAAGTCATGAAACTATTGGAGTAGAAGAGATGATTACATTTAACCGTTTCGACAATGAAAGCGTGGGACTGAGATGCCAACCTAGTAGCACCTTTAAATTCATGCAGTTTGGAAACTAGCGAAAATAGCTCGTCGGAGCAGTTACTGTGAAAGTATTTGTAGAAAAGACAGAGGGAAGCGACGGCACGTCTGTGATAAAGTGACTGTAGACGAGATGCCAAATCAGGGCCAATCACATTGCATATCCGTTTCTGGATTTTGTCGAGGACCTTAAGACGAACAGCGGGAACTCCTGACCATATGTGACAGCAGTATTCCATGCAAGAACGAATGGTTGATTTATAGATTTGAATGATGGAATCGGGTGAGAAAAACTTTCTGGAGCGACACAGAGAACAAACTTTCTTTGTTGTAGATGAAGCTATTGATTCAATGTATTTGTTCTATCTTAGGTCAGCGGACAGATGGAGTAGTTACTTTGTTTCAATTGTGAAACACCCTGTATTAACGAAACTGTGGCATTGTTTTGTTTTTCTCTGTCCTTAACAATAGACTCGCCCGTTGTTGAGTAATTATTAACCTCTTCGTCTTTCTATTTATTGAATAATGAAAAAGGCTGTTCTTATCGCGATCAAATATTATTTTACTATAACAACGGAATTTTAAAGATTAAAAATGAAAAGTTATAAAAATGCAGAAATTAAAAAATAATAATTTCTGTTGATATCTATCTTGTCTCATATTGTCGTTACTCGAACCAAAAAGGCGCCGTGTTGCCATAACGTTATTTTTTACATTTTTGAGAAATAATTTCTGAAAAACATGTCTTTCTGATAACGATATATCATTTGATCGACCCAATGTCGATTAATATCAACGGCATTCTAGATAATCACTCTCCAATGAGATCATCCATCATTGCTGAAATGTATCAGGTTTTTTTTTGTAGACATATTTAAAATTAATATATATTCATATTCTTTTAAAATTCAGAGTTGTCCTTTTCTTAAACTCGTTGCCAACCACACCTAGAGTATCCTATCTACTTGCTATTTAACCCAAAGCAGAGTAAGATTCGTGCCGATCCCAGGGGTATTTGTGCGAAAGTGAATTCAATGATCTCAAATGGAGTTCGAACATGGCTCGCCAATTTTTCGTTCTGAGCTGTTAACCAATACACTACTTAATGCTATGGCAACACGGGTTGCCATATTGGTACTAATACGTCTCGAGCTTTTTTTCGAACAATGCATATTTCAAAGTTACAGAGTTCGTGTCGGATATTTGAGTTTTATTTCAACCGTCCAGCGAGGGAAAAATTAGCACAAACATCGATCGGGCATTTCTATTTGTTGATGTGGTTACGGGGGTGGGGGGTGAGGTGGAGGGTGTTTAGTCTCAGGAAATCTATCTACCGTGCAATTCACAAAGCCAGTTCATCAATCCCTAGTACACGTGACACAACCACGTGACAACTATCAGCTTCTTTGCGATCAGCCTTCCTTTATCCTGAAATTTTACGTAGACGCTCGGGAAGCCTCGAACATACCAATCACTCAGAAAGCCTAATCGAAAGGAATATCGATTAGGGCTATGAAATACGAACGAGCATCGTCTGATCGGCATATCAGGGGGATATTGCCCGTGCAACTGCATCTGAATTATTGGATGACATCCAAATCAAAGCGATCCGAACATTCAGTCGAAGCTGCCGCCACTCAACGCAGACGATAACTTCACCATTTTATCGAGAGTAGGAGACGAGTTTACTCTCTGCTTCATTCGTCGTCGTCATTTCCACAAAATAGAAAAGTAAAATTTAGCTAAAGCAGAAACGATTAAATTGCTTCTTTTTGAGCGGACTAAAAAAAGGTCTCATAAAAGTACAAGATGCAAAATAATTATCATATTTAACTTTGAGAAAAGTCCACCCTTTTGTTCTCTCCATCTCTCTATTTGCTCTCAGAATATAGATAGATAATGAAAAAACTGAGATAGATAGATAGATAGATAGATAGATAGATAGATAGATAGATAATGAAAAGATTAAGATAGATAGATAGATAGATAGATAGATAGATAGATAGATAGATAGAAAAAATGAGATAGATAGATAGATAGATAGATAGATAGATAGATAAAGAATTGAGATAAATAGATAGATAAATAGATAGATATATACATACATACATAATGAATTGATTGAGATAGATAGATAGATAATGAAATGATTGAGATAGATAATGAAAAGATAGATTCATAATGAAAAGATTGAGATAGATAGATGATAGATGATAGATAGATAGATAGATAGATAGATAGATAGATAATGAAATGATTGAGATAGATGTATGAATAGATAGATATATAAGCGGAATTGAGATAGATATGGGTTGGTAGGAAGATAGGGAAGATAGATAGATAGAGAAATTGAATCCAGAGATAATGAAATGATTGATTTAGTCAACCCATTATGATAGGAATAGATCCCAAGAATAACCAAATAATTGTAGATAGATAGATAGATAGATTGATAGATAGATTAGATAGATAGATAGATAGATAATGAAATGCTTATTTGAGATAGATAGATAGATAGATAGATAGATAGATAGATAATGAAATGATTGAGATAGATAGATAGATAGATAGATAGATAATGAAATGATTGAGATAGATAGATAGATAGATAGATAGATAGATAGATAGATAGATAGATAGATAGATAATGAAATGATTGAGATAGATAGATAGATAGATAGATAGATAGATAGATAGATAGATAGATAGATAGATAGATTTTACTCATCGGAATTAACATTAGATGGTGACTTAGTTTCACGAATCTACCAGCACGTTTCCCTCTGATACTAGGCACTCTTCCCGTATAAATATATGACAACTCAGAGTTTCGTAATTTTTAATCAATCATCAGGACTCTTGATTGATTTTATTCATCGCAGTATATCTACTTTATAATCGTACATTTCTAAGCTAACTCTCAAATTTAAATTCCACTGCCACAAATTTCAATTTCACGAGTTCCTGACAATAGAAAACCAAAATAATCAACTTGCATTTGTAAATTTAAATTTAAAATTACTGTTACTGGAGTTCTTTTGTTTTGTTTTTTAATCATTTCACTCCAAGCAAGGTAATAAAGCCACTAAGATGCAGGGGGGTACTCAGTGTTAGAGAATATGAGAAAAATACATTAAGGAGAGACGACAATATAAGAACGGGATTTAAATTTTTGAAGATGGTAGGGAAGCTTGAAACCGGAAGTGAGTTCCACAAGCGAGAAGTGCGAGGGAAGAAACTGTTAGCACAGAACTTACGGTTACATCTAACCTTTTCACCTGTAAAATGATGAGATCTTGTCGCCAATTTAGTAATGCGCTTAAATTCATAAAGTCTAAGTACCATAGAGAAAAGTTCACAAGAACAATTGCCATGAAAATATTTATAGGAAAAGACATAGAGAAGCTACGTTACGTTCGGTGGGAAAGTGACTGAAACCTAGATGCCAGGTCAGAACTAATAATATTGCAGATTTTCTTTGGATTTTATCAAGAATCTGTAAATATATAGCAGGAACACCAGACTAGATATGTCAGGAATATTCAAAGAAACGATGAATGGTAGACTTATAAATATGTAAGATTGATTCTGTCGAGAAAAATGTCTAGCATAGCAGAGTGAACCAATTTTCATCGAAGCAGATCTAGCAACTGATTCAATATAATCTTCCCACTTAATGTCAGTAGAAAACGTTAGTCCGAGAAAGAGCAATGCGTCACACTCGTGGAGGTTAGCATCTGTCATGCTGATAGAGTCAGTCGTTCAACTCTGAACCGACTGTTCGGTTCAACTCTCTTCCTACGGACGGGAGGAACCCGAAGGAGGCTACGCCGAAAGGCGGAGTCTCCTTCGGGGAGGTAAAACCGGCCCTGAACCCGTTTATACGGGTTCAATGGGCATATTTTTGGCCGAGCTCACGGGCTCGGAATGCCCACGTTAAAAAGGCCTTGTGCCACATGACACCCTCGTGGGGGGGTGACTGAATATCGTCATGCTGATAGGAGACAAAATGGTTTCTCTCTGACAATTAGGAGTGCAGTTTCGTTTTGGAGGTGTTAAAATTAACAAGTCATTACTTGTCCCAGTTAACAACAGGTTATAAGTCATTCTTTGTGCTCCTCGCCATAATCGTCTTGTTCTGTGTCCCATTCCCCTTCAAAGCGTTGTTGATCATGTCTCGCCACAACTTCTTCTGCTTTGTAGCTCTCAGTAAATTGTGTCTTTTTGTTATCTCTATATAACAAATTAAAATTACTGATAGATATGAGCACACTGATATATATATATATATATATATTAAGACATTTTTATGTTTATACATTCTTTTTATAGATACAAATATTTAAGTAAATGCTCTGTTTATAATAAACAGTATTAAACAACATTTACCAGCCTGAATGTTTATTATAAACAGAGCATTTACTTAAATATTTGTATCTATAAAAAGAATGTATAAACATAAAAATGTCTTTAAATAATTGTCGAACTTTGTCCATTTCATAATGTGTAACGTCATTTGTTTACATTTGATACGCCATGAGCAGATATGAATGTACGTGAGAGAATCATGGAAGATTGAAGTTCAAATACAGTAAATTCGACCTTGCTAACCGAACGCTCCTCTGTGGCCAAATCGGTTAAAGGCACGTCAAGCTAAATGACCGTTCCGTATAGGATACAGGTTCGAATCCTGTCGGAGGACGAATATTTTCTGTGAATTTTTCTTGGACATTCAGGCCGGTAAATTTTGTTTAATACTGTTATTATAAACAGAGCATATACTTAAATATTTGTATCTATAAAAAGAATGTATAAACATAAAAATGTCTTAAAATAATTGTCGGACTTTGTACATTTCATAATATATATATATATAAGCATACTGAGATAGATAGATAGATAGATCCCAACTGATTACATACAATCAGCGCCGATGAAAACCCGAACTACCGCTAGTCACGATGAACGGATGTCCCCTTGAGGAGGCACTGTGCCTCGAGATGATATTGGGCCTCAAACTCACACTCGATCTCAAGTGAAACTCTTATATACAATTCGTCGCAGGTAAAATGATTGGCTCCCTGTACCGCTCCAGTAAGTACCTGACTCCTCATGCTAACCTCTACGTTTATATGATCCAGATTAGGCACAAAATGGTGTATTCTTGCCATATTTTGGTGGGAGCTGCACAGACCTCACTTGATAGACTTTCAAAAGCCTCTCCGAGTCCTAGGTGGAGAAGAATTATTTTCCACCCTCCAACCTCTCTCTCAAAGGCGGGGTGTGGCCAGTCTCTTACTGATCTATCGCTACTACCATGGAAAGTGCTCGGACAAACTGCATCTTTTGGTTGCACAAGGTCTAACCTTCGCGGCTAGGACCCGTCATACCACATACATAGTAGCAAACCACCCACATCTCCTCCTTATTCCATCGGCAAGAATTAAGTTTCACGCAAACAACTTCTTCCCGTGAACCACTGCCCTAGGGAACAGAATCCCGATCACTATAACCTTAACCTATTCAAAGCTAGGGTTAACCGTTATCCTCCTATCTATATAAACTTGCACTTAACGTAACTCTCTACCTCGAGTGAACCTTACTGTAAAAAAGATAGATACATATGAACAGGCTAAGATAGATAGATAGATAGATAGATAGATAGATAGAAACAGACTGAGATAGATAGATAGATAGATAGATAGATAGATAGATAGATACGAACAGACTGACATAGATAGATAGATAGATAGATAGATAGATAGATAGATAGATAGATAGATAGATTCGAGCAGACTGAGATAGATAGATAGATAGATAGATGAGATAGATCGATAGATAAATAGAAACAGACAGATGAGATAGATAGATAGATAGATAGATAGATAGATAGAACAGATGAGATAGATAGATAGATAGATAGAGAGATGAGATAGATAGATAGATAGATAGATAGATAGATAGATAGATAGATAGATAGATACGAACAGACTGACATAGATAGATAGATAGATAGAAACAGACTGAGATACATAGATAGATAGATAGATAGATAGATAGATAGATACGAACAGACTGACATAGATAGATAGATAGATAGATAGATAGATAGATAGATTACCTTTAGTGGTAAATAAATTCTTATGTCTTAAGAATAGCTGAAAACGCGGATCTAAGGTGCTTGGTGGCCTGTAATAAATTCAAATGCTATCGATTCACTTAGAGAGCGTCAGGAGAGGTTCGGATCAAGGTGGCCAGTAAGAAGATAGTTGGGAGAAGTGCAGGGGTTTGGACAAAATAGATTTCACAAACAGGACATTACCTCGTTCCGCGGGGACACTACTCGACAGTTGTAATTTTGTTACATCGACGAGATCGCTGAGTTCGAAGCGAGAGGAGCCGGGGAAAGCAAACCGAATTTTCACTCAATTGTAGCACGTGTCTAGCGTCTGCAATTGAGGAAATGTCGAGGTGTGAATTCTGTTTCAAGCATCGGACGATTCCGTAGAGAGAATTGCTCGGAGAAGATTGGGGCTGAGCAAGAAATCGGTGAGGATGAAGAAATCTTGAGAGGGAGGGTCGTTCAAGCAGCCTATACCGCGATGTACAAAATGTCTGATTTTCGATATGGTAAACCGTGGGTCTGTCTATCAGTTTCAAACACACACACACACAACACAACACACACACACACACACACACACACACACATGAATGCACATGTATAAAACCTGCATAAATATGTACAAATATGTATCCAGTCTAATGCTTATAAACTGTGTTATCGAATTTGCCGTCATGAAGCAGGAATTGGTATTTCAGACGTACAAACATTTCAGTGGTGCATATTCAGGTAAAAAGGATTTTAAGGTAATAAATCTTGTAAATTTTAAAGTGCATTACATGCTATTACAAAAGCACTTTAGCTATAGAAGAAAACATTAGTGTATATAAAAAAAAAAGCTCGCAGTGCAAGTGAACATTAAACACCTCCACCCCATCATCAGTCATTATTCTTTGGCCGCTTCATATGACAAACATTATGTTTTCCCACAATAGTGTATTACCACTACCAGTATTTCCTTTCATTTATCAAGAGTATGTTGCAATACATTTAGGTATAGATCAGCTGGTCCCGATGAAATTCGCCGGTAATTTGATACGATAATTTATTTTATAATACATGTAATAATAATAATAATAATAATCCGATAGTCTCATTGAAAGGATTCCTTGTGAATACAATTCTTGGTATTTTTATTTTTCATTCCTATTTTGTACAATTTTTTCTATTTCTGTAAGTCATGGGCACCTTAAAGAAATACAAAAAAACACTCGAACTCACAAGTACAGCTAACACATTACGAAGAGCTTTATATATTTAAAATGTGTGTGATCTTAGGTATTTTCTATTTGCTTTTGTTTTTGCAAAATGAATTAGTGGAAAATGACACGAAGCCA